ATTTTTATGTGTTTGAAATTATTCACAATTAAAAGATAGAAAAAAACAATGATAATAAATACTCAAAATTTAAAAAAAAAAGATGATCAATATCTTTGAGGACTATATTGTGGCAGAGAGCAGAAGTGATGCAGCCCTAAGGAAATGCTGTGAATGTATAGTATTGACCCTGCAAGGTAAAGACAAACTGCTTGTGGTGATCCTTGTAAACTGGTATGAGAAAAAAGACATTGGCTGGATCAGTTGCCCAAGGTGACAGACTGTGATATGTCCAAGATAATCAGGCAGTCCTACCCCTGCTTCCCAGACAGATTTGCAGCTTGGGGTTACCTGGGACGTGTACAGTGTCATTGTTTCACAGGTGGGTAAACCAATGCCCAGGGTACTTAGGCTTTTACTCTGGAAGCAGCATCTGGATGGGAATTAGAACCCTGGCCTTTCATACTCGCCCCTGTGGCAGGGGCCCACAGGGCTTCCTTGCTCCTCTTGCTCTCCCGACACCTTTTCCCAAACCGAACACAGGAAGTGGCCCCTTGTTCGTCCTGCGGCCCAAGAGAGAGTCTGGCCTGTCCAGCAGCAGATGGATGCCCACCTGGCCCTCCTCTCATTGCCCCAGCCCGCCCTTGCCCAGGGCCGGCAGAATTCTTCCTCCAGCTCCAGGAGGGCGTGGGAATTCTACTGGGTGATGGAACTGGGGGCTCCAATAGGCCCATTTTCTGGGGGCTTCGCCACGTGGGGCTCCGGGATGGGCGTCACTCAGCTAGCCAGGAGGAGAGGTGAGAAGTCAGGGACCAAGTGAGCAATCCGTCAAAGAGGCAGGGAAAGAAACGAGACACAAGAAGAGAGAAAACTGAAGAATGACTGACAGACCTGAAGAAACAGAAAGGGACAGAAGGAGCTAAAGAGATAAGGAGGGAAAGCACACAGAGATGCAGAAACGCNGTGTCGGGCTGGAAGAATGTGGAGGAGCAGGCTAAAAAAAGCCTACATTCTGGTAAGAGTTTAGAAAACAGAAAAAAGCAAGGAAAGGTTGGAACATCTTAGAAACTGGTTAAATGGCAGTGACCAGAAAGCTGATAGAAGTATGAACAGTAAAGGCCGTACTGAGGAGATCTCAGATGTAAATGCAAAGGGGCTTACTGGAAACTGGGGCAAAGATCACCCTTACTATGAACTGACAAGGAACTTGGCTGCATTCTGATCATNAACTGGGGCAAAGATCACCCTTACTATGAACTGACAAGGAACTTGGCTGCATTCTGATCATGCCCAAAAGTTTTATGGAATGTTGAACTTAAAGGTGCTGAACCAGTGGTAGGTGGCGAGAGGTTCAACTTGTCTTTCATCTTGGAGGGATAACTTGACATTGCTCAGATCATTGAACTCCCAGAAACATCACTGAGGTGGCATGGCATTTGTCTGCTACCCTCTCATTTGCATATGTCTTTCTAAGGTATCTCATGTACATGCTCACCAGATTCAATCGACATAATATCATCAATGTAGTGGACCGCTGTGATGTTCTGTAGAATGTCAGGATGATCAATATGAACAAGTTGGGCAATATACGGGTAATTGTTGGATCTGGGTGATTGGTAATAGGGGTTTATAATACCATTCCTTCCATTTTTATGTGTTTGAAATTATTCACAATTAAAAGATAGAAAAAAACAATGATAATAAATATTCAAAATTTAAAAAAAAAAGATGATCAATATCTTTGAGGACTATATTGTGGCAGAGAGCAGAAGTGATACAGCCCTAAGGAAATGCTGTGAATGTATAGTATTGACCCTGCAAGGTAAAGACAAACTGCTTGTGGTGATCCTTGTAAACTGGTATGAGAAAAAAGACATTGGCTGGATCAGTTGCCCAAGGTGA